TTTACTAATTAATTCATTTATTTATTATTCTTTATACTTTTACAGCGATCAACCCTTATTACCCGAGTACTTGTTCGTATTTACGTCGTAGTAATAATATTAGGTGCTATACGAGGAAGTTTGATGGCTTGGTCAATATTTTATGGTCAAGATCATATCGTATGGGAATGTAATAATGGAGGCAAAAGGTGGATTGATCCCTCAACGATTGATCCAAGTGTGCCACAACCCATTGAGACGAGATTAATGCCATCAACGTTTTGTCAAGTTGGTTTACAAACCGCTGCGGGTTATTTTTCATTTTTTCTCGCTCTTGACTTCGTTTTAATGGTATGTATTATTATTTTCGTGTTTTTTTTTTTATTTTATTATAGAAAAAGTTTTTTAATTCATCATTTTTATTTGATTTGTCTTTATAGTGTTACTTCTATTTCTTGATATGGAGATATAACGTAAAATTATATAATGAATGGTGTGATACCAATTACTATCCCTAAATTTATTAACAAACATTGTCTCTTGAAATCCCATCTCATTTATTATGGCTAAGGATCATTTTAACGTTTTTTTTAATAGAATACTCTTTTTGCAGAGTTTTTTTATTTTGATGATTATATTTTGTTTTAATAATTAATTAATCCTCTCTCAATGATTAAGGACATTTTTAAAGCTCATGTGTTTTTTTTTTTTTTGTACATTTACATTTTTGTACTAATAATCTTTATAGTCTGGATGAATTGTGTATTAATATAAATATATTATCGTAAAGGAATTTTCTTATAATGTCATCATACAGTATTATCAATATTTGAAGCTTTTAAAGATTTTTTTTTTTTTTTTGAAAATAATCTAATGTCAACATGAACGTGTGTGGTGCAGATTTAAGCTAATAAAATTCTTTAAAATTCTGTGATGTTAAGGTTAATATTTGTACGAATGTCTTCAAATGAAAACATGCAATTCTAGAAATAGATTAGTATGAAAATTTCATAATACAGTAACCTCTTTCAAATCCGAACCTCTCTAATTTGAACCTGAATTCTGTGAGAGCCGAACGTAAAACTCTAGAACATTTGTAAATTTATTATAAAGTTCGGATTAGCAATATAATACTCTCAATTTTACATATAAGAACGGACGGATTGTTCAGAATAGATAGAGCTGACTATAATCTATTTTTAGAATTGCATGTTTTCATTTGGCAGCACTCATTAAAATCATCTGTTAATTGTCTGGAGCGAAGCGACAGTTAGTGATTGGACCCAGATAGGTGCCACCCGGGTCACCCGCGGGTGGACGGGTGACCCGGGTGGAAGCAGGTGGGTCACCCAACAGGTGACCCGTGAACAATAATTGCGACTTTAATCCAAATATGCACTTGTATGTATATTAGTTGCCTTTTTTTCTTAAAAAAAAAACTTTCAAAATGGGTTTTATATTAGACTAGACACTCATTCAATGAATCGGAGGTAAAATTTTAAACGT